TTCAATGAACTTTTCATCTCTTTTTTCCCACAATAAATTATTTACATTATTAATTCATCAAACAATAATGGATGGAGAAACATGATAAATTAATGAAACTAAAAGTGAAAATGAAGACAACTCAACTGATAACAGAATTTATGCACAAAACAACGCAATTATCAATGAAAGGTAAAGGTAAGAAAAACGCAAAAAAAGAAGAGAAAAAAGGTGAAAATGATGTATTGAAAAAGGCACAAGTCAATTTACTGTTGCATTTTACCTGCAAAAAAAGTTGTGCATGTTTATGGGCTTGAAGTAACTCCTTGTTTGCTTTGTTGTTTACCTGTTGTTTCATTATTTCATTTTGAAGACTAAATCATGAACAGTCAACTGATGATTCAAGTCATTACTGGGAAAGGCTTGCTTATTATGAAAATCACTAGAAAGGTAAAGAGAGAGAATAGAGAAAAAGTGAGAAAAAAAGTAATCTAAAAAACTCAATATTGAGCATCGTTTTGATGAATTTTCTTCTTCTTCTTCTTCTTGTTTGTCTAAAGTTGCCTGTATAATGGATCTGAATGAGTGAGAGAAATGAGTGAGATTTTTTCACGATTTTGGCCCAAAACAATTAATTGCGTTTACATTCATACTTTTCTCAGGTATGATGATGATGATGAGAAGACCTTGTTTACTTTTGCAATAATCTTGGAGGCGTGAAAACTCTTTGTTTTCTTTGTTTACTTCTAATTAACTTATCCATCAAAAAGCCAGGTAAGAGCAACACTGAAATCAATGTTAAGGGTATCAATAGACATCATGTTTAAACACTTTTCTTGCCATCCTTATCATCCTCATCATTTACTTTACCAATTAGATTCTTGTTCATCTTCATCTACTTTATCCTGCTTCAAAAACCTTAATCTTTGAATTCTGCTTCTTCTTCAACCTCTCTTGCTTCTTAGCTTCGTGAAAATGAGCTCAAATTAAGCGATAACATCTTATCCCATAGAGCTTTGATTCATTATTTCTGGCTTGTTAATCATTCTTGCCATTCAATTCATCTTTAATCGCACATCCAAATCAGTTGAAATAAACATTTGTTTGAAGTAAAATGAACATTTTTTTCTCTGCTTTTCTCTCATTTCCCAAAAATAACATTAAACTTCCGGACCATTTCTACCTTTTTTTATGATAAACTGAGAAAATTTTAAGAAAAATCATCATTTCAAGATTCTAATCTAATGCTAATCTTCACTGCTTTTCATTTGATACAATTTTTGTTGTCCTTTTTTTGACCCAAAAAAAGTACAATTTCTTTGGTAAAATATCTTCAAGATAAGGAAATGTAATATTTTTGTTTAATATTATACTTGAAGATGCAAATAAATGAAACTCAAATGATGACGATTCGTATACCTTTACAAACGGTCGATTTATATCTTTACCTTTTATCTTTTGATTTTAAAAGAAAAAAGAAGCATTTTTTTCTATAAAAAAAGGTAAGTAAATCTGTTTCTTTTTTTCTCCATTTACTTGACAAGAAGAGCTTAAGGTTGGCATAATAGGCTATAATGTACAATAACAAGTGAGCTTAATATTGGCTAACATGCTCTGTAACTCCATGTATTATGTCAACGTCTTTTCCCGCCAACTGCAAAAGATGCTGAGTTCGGAACAAAATATTTTGAAGGCGAAACAACTTCAATCCTTAATAAAAACTCAAAATGATGAAGAATCGAAATTTTTCCGGAAAATTGGAAAAATCAAATTCTGTTGAGTTTCACATAAGTCAATGAAACACAACGTCTTAAATGAAATTTTTATTTTCAAGCCAAAAGTCTTCAAACTATTGATGAACAAGAAACTTGTGAAGAAAATTCTGATGAGCGAATTCTAGTATTCTGTGTTTTATGATGCTTAGTCAGTGTGCGAGCTTCACAGTCAATCTGAAAGGTCTTGAATATTACATTCGAATAAGCTGGAATTGTAATTTTGTTTGGATTTTGTCTCAGAGTGTTTGGCGAACATTTAGAGTTTTAAAATTTACCTGCAAAATTGTGTCTGTAAAAGGTAACATTTCTAGCTTCAATTGATCACCAGCATCAGAATTTGTGATTTATTATTTGGCAAAATCTATGGACTTGATTGTCACCTTTCTCATTTCCATGAAATAATAGCTTTTCCTGGTTGTCAACTTGAATGGAGTTTACCTTTAAAGTTGATTACTTTCTGTTGCTCTTTCCGTTTTCCAGCAATTTATTAATGCAATTTTCTGTTTGCTCACTTTTGACCTTTGATTTGTCGTCCATTTCCATGTTACAATAATGGGATATTTAAATTTTTATGTGCAACTTACGACTGGACAATGTTATCAAGACACAGAAAGGTATTAATATAATTACCAAAAGGAGCAGAAAAAAAAGTTGAAGGTAACTTTAGCATTAAAGATTAAAATGAAATTTAATATTTTTTCTCAATTTCACCTTTGTTGGAATTATCAACATTGAAAGAAGAGGGAAAGAAAATACATTTACTCTATCCAGGTAAATACCGAGTATCGACAATGTTTATGCACATATTTATAGATGAAAAGGTAATGGACGATGATGATGATGATGATAATGTTAAAAGAATGAGGAAATGTGTTTTGGTTGGCGAGTGAAAAGAAGAGGGAAAAAGAGATGAGGAAAAATGATGACAAGAGTTTGCTCGCAAATTGAATTGGTGCTCTTAGTGCGGGGTAAAGTGGTGTACAAAAGGATCTTTTAGGTAAAGGAAGAAGAAGAAGCCCAAAAAGGAAGCAAAGTAAGATTGAGGGTGGCAGTTTACCTGAAGAAAGGAGGAAGAAGAGGAAATGTTGAGATGTTGGCGAGATGAGGAAAAGACGAACTTGTAAGAGGAAGAAGCGAAGGTAGTTATTATACTTGTACATTCGTTTTCCCTTCTTTACCGCATTTCGATATTTTCCTATCAATAATTTGGACAAAGTTTGATTAGAGAGTGGAAAGGAGATGATGAAGAGGACAAAGTGGCGAGAAAAGAGGAAAGACTCATCTGAGAAGAGGATGAATCTAATTATCTTGCATATTGTCGTTGCTCTCGCTTTTTGCCAACAAAAGTGTAAAAAAGGAGCAAAATTGAAAGTATTAATAATTATTATTCACCTTTTCTTTTGTTTTTTGCTCGACTTGGGACAAAAGTCTCAAGTTATTATTTTGTTAATTATTGTTATTTCATGTCAAGGTTAGGCTCTGATGGTTACCATTGCACAAGTTACAACAGGTATTAGAGCTTCGAGTCAGGTCAATAGTCAAATCGTCTAACCTATTTTGTGAAATTGATGACTGTCCAGTTGGTAAAAGGGAAAGAGTCAAATCTTTTTCTCAAATTAAACTCATTGCTAGAAAAAATGACCTAAAAAAAGGGCGACTCGAATGAGAATTTTTTGAGTCAAAGGTCGCTAAAATTAAACATCGATACTGCTCGTTTCGGAACAAATTTGCTTTCAAAATCTTTCGATTTAATTTGAAAATTTAACAAAATTTCATTCTTCTTTGACCAATTTTACATCCGTTTGAAGAGCGACCAAAGTGAGCATTTCTCAAGTCAATAGTCGATACTGATCAATACTGGTTATTTTGAAATGAAACTTGATGAATGTCGCTGAAAATAATTGAATTTTGAAACAATTTTGCTTGGAATTTTCAATATAATTCGAAATTTTTAAAAATTCGTTTTCTCTTTAAGTGTGATTCTTGAAATTTTCAACAATAAAAAGCCAATTTTCCAATTAAATATTGATTTTGAAAATTTAAACATTATTTTCATGTTTATCTATACTGCTTGTAAATGAATGCGTAGAGTTTGTACGTAAGATTCATGTTGATTCATGAAAAGGCAACAAGTCAACTTTGATTCGTTTTAATATTCCGATTGTCAGATAACAATCAAAAAGCATTTCGATTTTAATTTTTCCCATTTTTCGCTCTTGTCTTCTTCTTTTTGTTGCTCATTTTCAATTTTAATTGCATTCGATTCATTATCCAATCACGAATACCTTTAAGTTGTTAAAATGAAAAAAAACTACGAAAAGCACTGAAAGTGCTATTCCATTTGTGCTCTTTTCAAACCTTTAATCATTATATTATTAAAGTGATTAACAACGAACGCAAGGTTGACTTGTTTCTTTTGTTTACATCACTTAATATTCAGGTTTTGAATCAAATTTTCACTTTAGTAGCTTTTAAAATAAGTTGAAACGCATAAAATTGAAACTCGGTAAAGAAGAAGAAGAACAAGTTGAATATCATGAAGGAGCAGGAAAGACTCAATGATTGGCTGAACAAGCAAATAAAGAGTTTCTCATGACGGAACAAGAAACTCCTCTTATAGGATTGAATCTGAAAAGTCTTGAAATTAAAAAGCAGAAAATGAAGGAAAGAAAAAAAAGTTTACTCAAAATTGTTATAGAGTTTTAAATATCATTTAAATGATTATTTACACTTGAAATTGATGATGATGGATTGAATAGGAATGAGAATTTAAATTGTCAATAAGATTGATTCATTTGCATGAACATGATCAGTCAAGATCAAATTATCGTAGAAACGGGAAAAAGGTTAAAAACTCGAAGCTAAAACAGAAGATGAATTTGGAAATGACCCACCGAATATAATCACGCATCTTTTGTTTTCCAAAGGCGACCTTTTAAACCTTATGATGGTGGGCAGTTAATGCCACGGGTCTACAGAAGCCAAGCCCAGGTCACCCAATGTCATAGGGGAAAAGCCCGTACATGAGTGTCAAACTACCGCTCCTAATGAATATGACGGCAATAGAATGTTAAATTTCTTTTGTCTTTTTCTGTAAACATTTCGTTTCATCATTAGTCTCTCCTAATGAATTGAGATTGATTCAATGGAATAAATTGTTTCACTGTTTTTTTTCGCTACTGAATTGCGTTTAAATACTTCGCGAGTAATGAGAGTTAAATGAATGGGTAAAGTTTGTTTGAGTAATAACCATTTTCGTCTTTTATTTACAAGTAAAATAAGAAAACGTTTTTCGTCTTTATTTATAAAATATGTATAAATTTATATATAAAAATAGTAATCATGAATAATATTATCTAGAACTTTTACTTTATCAAATAATTCGCACAAAAATAGGATAATATTTATATATTTATATTTGTTTTGAGCTTTTCTTTCTGCTTAAAGCATGGCCAAGTTGATAATACTTAAAAAGGTTTTTGGGGGAAAAAAAGTTACATTTGATTGAAAAAAAAACTTTTAAAGGAAGAAAAGGGGCAAAAAATGTTGATATTTTGTTTTTCAATACTTGAAGGGTTTTATTTACATCAAGAGAGTAAAGTTGAAAAGTCAAAGATGTCGCCTTCATCTGGGTTACATTTGGCATCCAGTTCCAGTTGATCATAAGAGTAAGGTGACATTTCAGATGAAGCAATTGATTTGGGCGATATTATTGAACAGGGCGAGTTTTGTTGTTGAAATTGAGCAGATTGTTGGTTGTGGTGATGGTTAATGATTTGTTGCTGATGGTGTTGGTGTTGATGGTAATGGTGAAGGTTCAAGTGATGTTGAACAGTGGGACTAAGTTGATCTGGATGAGGTGAGTTTGGTGAATTTAATTCCATTGTTCGCATTTGAGGTAGATTTAGTTGTTGTTGTTGTTGGTGTTGGTGATGATGATGATGGTGAAGTTGGTGATGTTGTTGGTGATGATGCTGTTGTTGCTGTTGATGGTGAAGTTGCTGCCCAGAGTGATGGTGACCATGTTGTTGCTGCTGTTGGTGGTGTTGGTGGTGCAAGTGCTGGGCATGATATGCATCATTAACTGTCGTCACTGAGACTACGGTTGCTGTTGAGGCTACAGTAGTTGGTGATGAGGTTAATGGTGACGAGGGTGAGGATGAGATTGAGATGGATGCACTGTTGTTGGTTGGGTGAACTAGCGAAGATGTTACCGTTACTGATGTAGGAACCGATGATGAAGAAGGAGAAGAAGAAGAACAAAGATTTGAAGATGAAATTGATCCATTATAATGATGTGATGATGATGAATCATGGTAAGGAGAAAGTGATGAGACAGAGGAAGATGGAGAAGCAATACTACTGGGTGAACATAATAACATGCTTGATGGATTGATATTTGCATCAGGATGAGGTTCATCTTTCATGATAACATCACTATTATAAGATGCAAAAGTAATGCAAAAGCAACAGCAAATAGAAAATGAAAAAAAAATAAGAAAAAAAAAACAAGCAAACATGAGTATAAAATGTTCAAATAATGCAAAAGTTTTATGTTGATCAAAAGCAAATTGTAATTTCATGCAAAAAAAACAAATTGAATGCAACTTTTGATTCGCAAGTAATGCTTTTTTTGTTGCTTTTGTTTGATTGAAATATAGAAAAAAATGGGAATAAAAAAGATGAAAATTCTTACCTTGATGAGAGGGAAGATGATGAAGATAAAGGTGATAATGAGGTTGCTGAAGTTACTGAGTTTAGAGCTGAAGCTAACTGATCCAAGGCAGCATCATTGTTTAGTAGTTGCTGTAATTCCCGAATGTATTGAACGGCTGATCGAAGTGTTTCCACTTTGGACATTTTCTTGTTCTTGTCCTTTTGTTGCTTTGGTATGTGCTGACGAAGAGTATTGAAACCTAAGTTGACCATTTTAACTCGGTTACGTTCACGTTCATTACGACGAGCAACGGCAATGGGTGCTATCGTCGAGTTGGTTGATGTTGTTGATGAGGAAGATGAAGATGAGGATGAAGAGGAAGATGAAGAGTATACAAGTGAACGACGAGATGTCAAGGAAGGTGAAACTGTTGAACGAATAGAGTTGACTCCCTTTCGTTTACAACGAAGTGAATTGGAATTGTTGATGGAAGGTGAAATGGTCGTCTTTTTGTTGTTACCTCCAGTTGTGATGAGAGTAACCGAAGGGTTGGACTCAATGTTACCTGATGATCGCTGGAAATTAGAGTTAACAATTAAATTGGTTGCCGTTATTTGGACCGAAGTGTTTTTAACATTGCCGTTGTTTCGATTGTTGTTGCTGTGAACATTGATTATCGGGCAATTGTTTTCATTATTATTTGGTTCAATTTTTATTCTCTTGGCTGGACTTGTGTTTAAAGGTGATCCAGGTGAGGTTGAGGTTGATATGGTTGGAGATGAAGTCTTGAGGTTGGACAAGTTGTTGGCTGGATAAACCATTGTGCTTCGGTTGTTGGTGTCATTGGTATTGCTGGGTGTTGAAGAGGCCAATAGGGTTGTAAGGCTAACCTGTGATGAGGCACTGTTTTGCATAAAATGTGAATAAGAGTTGACTCCAGTTTGATATCCGATTGTTGTCATGATGAGATTGAATTAACAGGCTTAAACAATTGAAGAAAAAAAAACAAAGTCAATGTTGATCAACAAATAAGAGTCAATGATGACGAGTAAACATGAAGGTCGAAGGTTCGAAATTTGAATGAAAAAAGTGCGAAACAACAAAAAAAAATAGTAAAATAACAAAATTCAAGTTTGTGCCCGTTTCGTTTTAAGGCTTCACTAAAAGTAACATTAGGCACGTTGTACCACAGGGTAAAGGTAAAATAACACTGTGCTAGTTTGAAAAGGTTCACTTGCTTTTGTCAGCTCACTCGGGCCTCTTCTTAGACTCTCTTTTACTCTCTTTCTCCATCTTCATCTCGACAAAAGGTGAAACTCCTTGGTCAACTCCTCAAGAAAGGAAAGAAAGAAGATGATGTAAAGAAGATGAGGAGGAGAGTAGAAACTTGGAAGGCGGGTTCTAAGCAAAGAAAAGGTAAAGATGATAAAGAGAGAGAAGAAGAAGATGGAAGAAAGGTAAAGACGAAAATTGCGTTTCTCTCTCTTTTCAATCAGAAACAATAAGTTTATAAGTTTGGATATTTACAAATCATGAAAATGATTCAAATGATGAAATTCCACTTTTCATCCAAATTCAAGGTAAAAATGAAATTGAAAGACAAAGCAAACAAAAAGCGAAAATAATTGAAAGATAAAAATAAATGCTTTTTCAATAATTATCAACAATAATTGCGAGGTTATTCAAAATATGAATGAATTTGTTTTCTTCATTTCAATTAACTTGATAATTGTTGAAACCAAAGTTTAGTGTTTTTCATTATTCGAGAAAAAAAAGTTTCGAATGAAAAGTTTTTGCGAAAATAAAATTAGCAAATTAATCGCGAGTAGGAAATTAGTTTTGCCTTTTGTACTTTACTGTACATTGATCGAGTCCACAACAAAATACCAACAGTGGTATATGGATGAATGAGTTGGTTCACCACGTGCATAAGGAACACGCGTTGCTCCTTCTCTTGCCATTAGTTGATTAACTGTCAACCTCCCACCTTTACCTTTCCTTTTACCTTCTCTCCCTCAACTTTTTATCCCTTTGGAAGTGCAATTATCGAATGGTAAAGATAAGAGTTGGGACACACGAACACCGGTTGATAAGACACCGTTACCTTTGACCCTTGCTTGGTTTATACCTTTTACCGGAACCTTACCTGACCGGCGTCTATCATTTCCTTAACGGAACTGCTTCATCTCCTCATTTAATCTCAACTTGTTTTTAATAGTTGATTGGATTTGAGCAAGAAAAGGTAATATCAGCCAAAAAGGTAATTTGCTGTTGAAATATGGCAAGATAATTAGATTTGGTTGGTTGGTGTTTTCAATGGTAATTTCAATGTAACACTGAAAAGACTTTTACTTGAAGAATGCATTTTAGTTGTTAAATTGTTTGCCAATGTTGTGTGCCAGTCTCGTGCCTTGTCTTGAAGGTTTATCATTTAAGCGCCAAATCACTTTATAACCTCAGAGAGACGCACTTTTACACGATGATGATCAAGAGGATGACGATGATATAATGATTATAATGCAATAAATGATGATTATGCAGGGAAAGAGAGAGAAAATGTTTTTTTCCTTTCATTTTCTTCTTTCTCAGTTTACTTTTTGTTCTCCATTCATTTAATATTTCCAATCATTTTTACTTTTAAATTTACTTTTGTTTACAATTTCCGTTGGTCAGTTGGCTAGTCAACATAATATCAGGATATAAATCATTGTTTTTATCATTTCAATCTTAAAGAGTTTCCATCATTTTCCAACAAATAATTGACGTTCAACATTTCAACTCAACGCAAGTCTGACCTTTCATAAACTTAATTAGATTAACTTGAAAAGGTTTTCTTTGAACGTGTTTTCACTTCCAATTTATTTTTCGAACAAAAAAAAATATCGAAAATGTTCAAAATCGATTCAAAATTTAGTCTCTTTTAGATCGACAGTTTGTTTACACATTGATCCTTTTCATCGAAATTTGCCAAAAATTAAAATTCGCAGTTTAATGTTGACTTTTTAATCAATCGTAAGAATAATTTTCTGAAGATTATTTGAGTTTTAAAAGTTTCATCGACAGCACAGTTTCAAGAAACAAAGCTTGACCTTTGAGATAATTTAGTTTCTTAAGCAGACAATTTATTAATGTCATTCTGTTGTACATATGTCAACGCATTGAGAGACAATTATTATTTGGTGGTCACTCGAATGACCATACTTTACCCACATCATGTGCAGTTGCTTTACTTTCAAGTTTACACCGTTTAACCCAACTTTATCCAACTGCTTTTCCATGTCTGTTCATCTTTTGGTCACTTTTGGTTAAAATAAATTACGATTTGACCTTAAAATGTCTGTGGTTCTATTATTGTTTTCGTGTGTTATTGGCTCTTCTTTTTGTTCACTTTGACTGGAAAAAAGAGTGTAAATGTTTTCACGAAGTGACTCAGGTAAGACACGCGTCTTTCAATATCAATCTTTGTCCATTTATTGAGTTGAACACTTTTTCATCTCTATTTTCATCACCTCCATCTTGTCTTATGGCATTGCACATCTTTTCCTCTCTCACTTCCCTCACCATCTTTCGTTACCTTTATCTTCATTTGTAAATCTCACCAGGTAATCTTTACTTGATCTGTTTACTTTTTCCTTAAACTTCACTTTTGACCCTGTTTTAGGTAAACGTCAATCCAAATTTAACCTTTATCTAACCTTAGGTTATCAACACTCATCTAGACCAATCTTGCCATGTTGAACGTAAACAGAATTAACAAAGTAAATGTTATAAAAAAAGTGATCGTAAACAGTTTTTCCTTTCCATTGCTTCTCATCATCTCATCAAATACAAGAGTCCAACATGATTACTCTTCATGTTACTTTTCAACAATCTTTAACTGACTCTTCAATTTTCAATGATGTCGTAAACAAGTATGGAAAAGCTGAAAACACAAAGAAAAAAACAAAAGCCACCTTTTTTATCCGTTAAAATAGTTGAATAAGTTGTTTAACACGCAACGGTAAAGTACTCGATTAATAGCCAATAAACATTATGTACCTTTGTATGCATCTGCCATTCATTGAACACGGGCAACAAAAAGAATCAACAATTACCAATGAAAATCTTGTCAAATCCTGTTTATGAAGCGTGTTTCATTCACTATATTACTTGAGCAAAATCAACATCAAAAGTCTCTTGATTCGTTTACAACATTATGTTCATCAAAACCCGCCTCAACCCACCACTCTTGATTCACGACTTTCATCTCAATCTTAAGCTCAGTCGAGATTAAAATTAAGTTGAAAACACTAAAACTCACTGAATTTTGAAACATTAAAACTTGAGAATAGAAGCAAAATCATGTTCGATGAGATTTTGAAGAAACAATTTGATTGAAAAACTCGAAAAAATCAGTTTCGTTAAAAAATTTGTTACATTTGCACACAATATTTGTTTCGAGCTTGGCTTTTGAAGTTTTGAGATCAACTGCTGTAGCGCCATCTATTAGCAACTTTGGCAGTCTACAATAATATTGCAAAAAGTCCGTTAAATTGTTTTGAACTAAATTTTTGAAAATTAATTGTACTTTGGAAGAAATTTTTAATCAAATTTTGAAGCTCTAATAGCGACGAAAAATAGTTGAATCGATGGCGTTTAAAATTATTTCCCTTTTCATGTCTTCAATCATAATTGAGGTCAAATTTATAGGAAAATTAAAAAGACCGTGTCGAGTCGACTCTATCAATGGCCAAAATGCATTTTGGTGTTCAAATAAATTTTCATGGACACAAGATGAGCGATTTGACAAGCAAAATAAAGTTGAAATTGTTGCCACCTGTATCTTGATCTTAATTAACAATTTAAAAAACTTTTAATGAAATTTTTCAAAAGTAAGCTTTAAATGCAAGATAGTTTGCCTCTTGTTAAGCGACTACAAAACGGTTTGAACGGGTTTTCAATACTTTTCATTATATCTTGAGTGCAATTTACCTCTAAATTGTGATAATGTTTCTGTTGATAAAGGTGAAATATGATGAGAAAACAAGATTGATTTGCATAATATTTGAGCACAATTGGTAAACAATTTTACCTTGTAAATCCATTTTATTCAAATGCTCTTGACCAAGCAAGAAAAGAAGTGCAAAGAAGAGGAAAAGGCGCACAAAAAAGTATCAAATTTTACTTTTAAATTACAGTTTTTAGTCAATAAATTAGTGTAAATTTATTAGGAAAAACACAATCTTTTCCTCTTTTTACCAGCAAAGCAATCAAGCAAACAACAATTGACCAATTCATGTTATTAAACGCTCTTAATACCATTGCCTTTGCTACCACAGAATACCATTACAACGTAATAATAGGCAAGTTTGTTGGTCAAGAAAAGAAGCAAGAAAAAGATCAAAAGTCCGAATAAAGAGTAATCCATTAAAAATACATATTGACTAGTTAAGCTTATGTAAATAATGGTTGTTAAATATTCTCATTGGCACTACTTGACCAATGCAAGGATTTAAGTCTCTGTTAAAGACATATAAAGTTGAATAGTTTTTGGTGGTTTCACGGAATGATTACATTCAGTGAAAGGTAAAGGTGATTGGGAGTGAGGAAAAGATTGGCTTTTTATTGCAAGACTTAGGCCATTGACAAAGGTTACTTGTGACTTGAAAGGCGACTTTGGGTGCTGTAAATAAGCCAAGCTAATGGCAGTTAAATGGGCAACCAAGACAATCGGTTGAGGCGTGAATGAAATGTTAGAAGGTGAAGAAGGAGGAGAAATGGTGAATAAGATGTAAAAATTCAACTCTTTTCTTCTCTTCTTTTTTCATGTTATTCTTTATCGCCCAGTCTTGAGACTTAAGATTCTTGACCAACAATGCATTTTGATTATTTTGGCTCAATTTCAATTTGAACAAGCTTGTGAAGGAGGAAAGCAAAGAGAAGAATAAATTTTTTCATTTTTCTCCTTCTCGAGTTTAATGAATGTGTAAGCAAATACATGTACTTTCTGTGTGTGCACATTGTTCAGGTAAAGAAAGGTAAATAGTAAATGAATAGAGAGGCGAAAAGAAAACTTCGAAGACAATGATTTAGAAATAATCTTTTCTCCATTTTTTCTCTTTTCTTTTTCTCTTGTAATTTCATATTCAAGGATTATTCAGTTGATTCATTGTTGACAGGAACCCAGCTTATTCCGATAGTCAATAATTTATCATAATATTGGTAGGTAAACCCTTTGATTATCCGTATTCTTTTCAGGGTATAA